GATTATGGAAGAGAAGAGATGATGGTGGAATGTTTCGTAAAAAAGATATTTCTCTGGAATATACAATTGTCCATCATTTGGTTTTCGGAAATACCTGAAGGCGTTAGATAATGGATGCATTTAATAATAGTTCCTAACCATAGTATGTTTGAGTAACTTAGATATCATAATTCATAAGGATTCATAAGAGTTCCTTGCAAAAATGCCTACTAATGGGTGCTATTATTTGCTTATTTAGATTCTGAGATGCGTGGAATAATCCTTATAGGGTGCAAGATTGGTTTATGATTGAAGCACCTTTGGAACCGAATTGTTATAAGCTTGCAGATGACAATCCAAGCAATTTTTAGTACTCCATCCATCCCAATTTATGAGGCATACGTTCCCTTTCTCGTCCCTTTAAAAAAGAATGTCATACTTATTCTGAAGCAATTTAACTTTGAAATTTTCATTTTACCCTTTATGGGATTATTTTTAGCCACACAAATGTCTAATTTTTGTTTTAGATCACAAGTTTCAAAAGTTTTTCTTTCTTATACGTCGTGCTCAGTTAAACACCACTACATAAATTGAGATGGAGGGAGTATCTTAACCAACCACCACCTCCACCCCACACACTAAAAAAAAAGAGGAATGTCATAGAAAATACTAGTGGGTATATAATTGAGACATGAAATGAAGTTGTTAATCAAAATATTTGCTGTATATGGAATTTATAATGTATAAAAAAACAGTTAATTTCCTTATGATGGAATTTTTGTTACTTTCCAGTTCATTAATGTATACACTATCAAATAAATTAACTACTTTTTATTTCTTTCCGTTCTCAAAGAATAGGCTACTCCCTTCTTCCCATTTTATGTGACACTGTTTGATTGGGATAGAGTTGAGAAATTAACAAGGACTTTTGACATGTAAGCCAAATATGTGTTAAGTACAAAATTGTCTTTTTAAATGAGTGGGCACGAGGGATCGCAGCAAGTAGTGTCATTAAGGGTAAATTAAAAGTTGAAAGTTAAATTAATTCCAAAGATAGGAAAGTGCCATTTTTTGGGACACACCAAAGGGGGGGGGGGGTTAATTTTTTTTTGACTGTATGTTCATTAATTATCCGTAAGGCATCACACAAAACTTTTGAAGCAGATGATTTGATAACCAAGTAAGATTTTCTATATTTAATTACACTAAAAGCATTGTTGCAACTCTCTTGTTTGTTCACTGTTGAGTGTTGGTGAAACATTATGACTTGTTTGAATGCACTTAGTTAAATTGCTGGTTCTGTGCTGCTGATCTTGGGTATTTCCTTGTATACTTGTTTCAACCATCAGGCAAAAGCTCGTTGATGTGCGTTAGGCTGAGTAGAGTTGTTACATATTGGTCAATTCACTTCAGAAAAGTAGTTTTGGGAAGTGTATAGTTATGTAATGTACGCAGACATGCCCTGTTGACACTGTTTCTGTTTGTTTGTTATTTTCTTTCTTGATCAGGTTCAAATGCATAGATATGGATGGAAATGGGGTTATAACTAGGAATGAGATGCAATTCTTTTATGAGGAGCAGTTGCATAGAATGGAATGCATGGCCCAAGAGCCAGTGCTTTTTGAGGATATTTTGTGTCAAATAGTTGACATGGTCAGTCCAGAGGTAATTTTGGAACTTTTCACATTTCCCATCCTTTCTTATCTTGCGTCTTTTCCATGTTGTAATTCTTGCTCCATAATCATCTGATCTGTATGAATACTTACAATGATTGGACATTTTTCATGCCAAGTTAAATTTTGTGAGTAAGATTTGTCTAAATAATCCCTTTGGATGTGGTGAAAGGTTGTTTTAATTGTATTTAGATTTGTGTTTTCATTAATGTTTGTTGGAATTAAGTCTGTCTTATTGATACACCCACTTTTTTTTTTCTGGGTGCTAAGCTGTTTGCTATATGTTTTTTTAAAATTTGTTTAGAGGATTTGTATGTTAATACTTTTTTTACAGTGGGTATGTTGTTTGTTGTATATTAATACTAAATGTAGAGAATCTCAAATTCTCTAGTACTATCCTAATTGGTTTTGAAAAGACATTAATTGAGTATTGAAATGAAATGAGGCCCAGATGGTGCAGAATGAATTTTGAGGATTCATATAGCCAATTCCGACTATTCTGAAATTGATTTGTAGTTGTGTTGCTATTGTTGCCTTGAGATGTATGTTATGACTACTTGAACTTGTTAGATTGTTTGATAAGGTGTACTATATGTTAAAAAAAAAAACATGTAGTTTTAATTTGTATCGTCTGCTCTTTTTTCCAAGTACAATAACAGATATAATTCAAGTTTCTTTGTTGCAGAATGAAAGCTACTTTACATTACGTGATTTGAAGGGGAGCAGGCTCTCCGGTAGTGTTTTTAACATACTTTTTAACCTCAATAAGTTCATGGCCTTTGAAACCCGCGACCCGTTCCTAATTCGTCAGGTAAAGGCTAATATATAGTTTATAATGTAGTTCTGGTGTTGCTTGGCTGTTGTTACCAATGGTTGACATGAGTTTCTTCTTGTTTCCAGGAGCGTGAGAACCCAAATCTGACTGAATGGGATCGCTTCGCACACAGGGAATATATTAGGCTCTCAATGGAGGAAGATGCAGAGGAAGCCTCCAATGGAAGTGCAGATGTCTGGGATGAATCACTCGAGGCTCCCTTCTGAGTTCTAGTCTGTGAGATAGAATGGTATGGAGAATGCAGTTACTTAGAATAACCTAAGGCTGCATCTACATACATCGATAGTTCTGCCACCCATTATTTCTTCTCATGCCATGTCTACATCTCCGATGATGCTGTAAAACATTTTGTTCACTGTTGATGCATATTACTTTTTCTGGAAGAAAGTTTAATGCTTGACTAGATTCAACTTCTCTCTGAAAATAGCTAGTGAGAGTTTCTTGACATTTACACAACCGTAGCTGTAAGATGTACGTTTGTGGAGTTGCATATAATGTTAAAGCATGCTGTTATAGTAGAAAAATAGACGCTTTTGCTAAATTACTTGAATATAGGAGAAAAATACATACCCATGACCGAGCATCAGTTTCAAATGCTGTCAATTACTGAAAAATTCATAAAGCAGAATGTATTGTCATTTGTCACCCAAATTAATGTGAATCCACTTTTATAAGAGAGATTTTAGGTGTCTCAGGATAGTATCCACATTTTCTTGATTTTTCAGTCGACACAAAGTACACCTATTGTTCATGCCACATTTGGGATGCAGTTAGTTTATGTGGCATGTAGAAATTTTTATGACTTGGCCTCTTCCTACTTGTAGATATATTACCACTTCTTATTCGATATGTTAGTTGTAGTTGGAAATGGCCAAGTTAGACATGATGCAATATTGTTTTCTCCATTTGTCAAGCAGCCTGACCTTATGCTTAAAAGCTCTGTTCTTTCTCCAGCCAGGTGTGCCTATAGCAAATCTTGTTTCAAGCTGGCTTATTGAGTTGCAAAGAGTTAATTTGCACGGAACAGTCAAGTGGGACAAGCTTATCCGTGTGAGTTATCAAGATGTTTTTATGAGATAGCCGAGGAGGAAATGTTTGTTTGATCTGCATAGAGCATGCTCTCATGAAGTATAAGGGCATGCTAGTGTTGGAAACTTCTGACTTGAAATATCAAGGGCTTTGCAAGTGCGCCGATTGGTGATAGATGATTAATGAAAAACTAGATTCCAGTAGTTCATAACTTCTCTCCGCGCTTGTTCCCTCTTTAGCTGTACGAAGTCCATATTCTTATTTATTTGTTCTAGTGCCGATTTTTGGTGGTTGCAAATACAGTTTTTCTTGAAGAGGTTTAGTATGGCTAGTCCCACAGTCCATGTGATCAGCTTTTTGCTCCTTTTATTATTCTTTTGTGGATTAGACTCTTCTTTTAGTGGCATGTGAATCATGGTAGTTCTGTATCGACTGTGTAATGATATGGCTTCTCTATTTCTGTCTGCCTTTCTAATCTGATGTTAGAGGATGGATAATACATTTAGTTGACTGATGGTATTTGATCAGTTAACAGGTCATCAACACATCTGCATCAAGATTCACTCAGGATTAAACAAACAAAGCATATTCATGTATTACTGTAGTAAAACCAGAAACAATCTCTCTACCCTACAAAGGTAGGGGTAAGATTTGCGTAGATTCTATCTCTTCAGACTCCACTTGTGAGATCATCTCACAATTGGTTATGTTGTTTTACTATAGTAAAACTGCATCGGCATCGTAAGGAGGTTGAAGTATCAAGAGATCCAAGTTTAAACTTTGAATTATAATGAGAATATCCCATACAAAGAAGAGTGAGGAGAGATTATGTTTTGAAGCTTGCAAATTAAGGTTAAGCTTTATCACATGTCAAGAGGTACAACTGGACGGTTAAATTTGGCTAACATATCAATTAGCCAAATAACATAGAAGAAAATGTCATAGCATAACCAATAACTAATATTCCCACTGTTTAAAATTTATGTAACATAGTTCATTGAAGCACTAAGTTTATGAATGAACAAAAAAAAGCATTTTAAAATTTGCAATCTAAATTGTGTCTATGATATTTGTGGGATAATAAATTAGTAAGCTAAGAGTTCTAAAGTTAATTTATTTGTAAATATGGAAAGACAATATTAACAAACTAAAAAATAGTGTATTGAGGCAACAAGTTTTTAATTAAATATAGATATAAGATTCAAAAAACATATTAGTAGTAAACAGCTGATTAATCATCTTATTGGTCCGTATGTCAAGCTAATGTCATTATAATTAATCAAGTTATTAGTGTATTGAGATAAAAAAGGTTTTTAATTAAATAAATTCAAAAAACATATTAATAGTAAGCAGCTGACTAATCATTTTATTGGTCCGTATGTCAAGTTAATGTCATTATAATTAGTCGAGTTACTCGCATGCTTGGCGGACTTGGTTGATTGACTTAGGAAACGGAGACGTCACAAAACCCAAAAAAAATCCACGCAACATCTTTTACTCTTTAGTCAAACAAAGAAAGACAAAAATAAGCAGAGCACAAACTCCCCTCTTTTTTCAAAAAACCCTACTTCGCCGGCGCTATCTTGTCGGAGACGGAGACAGTTACTGGCCGGTGGCTGTGTTAAACAATATGAAAGTCGTTGCTTTAGTCAGTGGCGGCAAGGACAGTTGCTATGCCATGATGAAATGCATTCAATATGGTCACGAGGTTCTCAATTTTTGTCTCTTTACCTAAGTGTTTGATGATTTTGTCGCTTGTTATTGTGCTCTTATTCTGGCAATTTTCAGATTGTTGCGTTGGCTAATTTGATTCCCGCTGATGATGCAACCGATGAGCTTGATAGCTACATGTATCAAACAGTGAGTTTTTTTTTCTCTTTAAATGCTGAAAGAACCGATGGTGATATTTTTGTAAGCTGGAGCGGAGCTAGCCTTTGGTTATGAGTTCGGCTAAAGCAGTAACTTTGGTTCAAACCTTGAATTTATATTAAAATTTTCATTGAAAATGTACAAATTATTACTCCCACTTTCAGTTTGTTTGTCTTAATTTTCTCCATTTCAAAAAGTATGTCTCTTTCCTTTTTTTTTTTTTTTGGCAACTCTTTAATTCTAACTTTGCCTGCGGCATGTTTTAAGACCACAAGGTTAAAGATGTTTTGGTACATTCTACCCGTCTTTTCTTTAAAACCACAAGATTCTAAAGTCTATTTACTTTCTTATACTTTATGCCCAAATTAAAACGGAGGGAGTAATTTAGAACCTTGTAACTTTAGGATTAGAATCCTGAACGCATAAACTTCAAATTTTGTCTCTGCCTCTGCTTTTTAAGTCCCAACATATGAATTCCCTATATGCATAACATTCAGAGGGTCTGTCATAGTTGGATTATTTTATTGAAGAGGTGTTGAATTAGAGAAGTTCATTATATATGCATGTGAAAATGGAACTAATGCTTAAGGGGAACATCCTTCTTGCAAAACTCAATCTGATTGAAGCTTATCAAAATGAAAAAAAAAGATCTTTTGGTTAGTTATAAACTGCTTTTTTATCTTCCATGATAATGGTGGTGTCTATGCTGTCTTGCGCACCTTGAGGTTGTAAGCTGCATCAGAAACTTTCTATAATGTATCTGCTGGAAAATGTCTTTATGTATTTTTCTGCTAAGACAGTTGTGACTTGTGAGAAAATCAATGTTATGATTGTTGGGCTTGTAAGGCGACGACATCCACAGAGAGAAAATGTTGTAGAAGTTCTAATATTAAGATGGATGTGCGGTCATACATGCTTGATAAGAAATAAATGATCACATTCAATAGAGGGTAAAAGTTGTATATCTGGAGGATAAAATGAGAGAATTTCCCCTTAATGGGTTGTCGATTGGCAGCAATAGATTGAGATTGAATCAGTCAGAAGGTTCACCCCTCACCCGGGTGGATTGGGGAGTTGAGACTTCCTTGCTCTTTTTCTTTGAGAAAGTTAACATTTTATAGACAACAATACACCAATGGTTTATTTCAGTAGTAATTACATCAGTAGTATACAATAAGCAAAACCAAAAGATCTATCATATATACCCCTCCTAAACTATCTAAAAAGTGAGTAATAGCCTCCACCTCTTTGGGAAGGACATGGTTACACCAAAAATAGAGGGTTATAAGGCAGTTCAACTTCAAACTCTTGAAAGGGATGCTCTTGTTTTCGAAGCTACTCTGGTTCCTTTCCTTCCAAATTGTCCACCAGATGCAAGCAAGGACAATCTTTCATCTTTCCTTGTGACTTGATGTATTCCTTTCTCTATTCCAGCATGATTTTCTGGGGTGTGTCTTGGCATGGACCAACTGATTCCCCTCAAATTCAAAAAGTCCTGTCATAGTTTCTCTGTCACTCTGCAATGGAAGAAGAGATGTTTTGTTGTCTCTGTTTCTCTTTCACAAAAAAAGCACCTGGAGCATAACTGTCTTCCCCTTTTCATTTGATTGTACGGAGTTAGTACTGCTTCCCTAGCTACCAACCAGGTGAAACAAGCCACCTTGTGAGGTACATTAATTTTCGATATCATCTTCCAAGTCCATGGTAGAAACATTTCAGCTGGCCTGTCAAGACGTCTATAAGCTGATTTTATTGTGAACTTCCCATTGTTGGCCCTCAACCATTGTAAACTATCCTCATTTGTGTCAAGGTTGTTTGCCTACTCTAAGGACTTGTAGAAATCTGCTAATTTGTCTATTTCCCAGTCATTCAACCTTCTCCTAAAAGATAGGTTCCATCCTTGGTTGTCTCCGACTTCTGCTACTGTTGCTTCCTTCTGTTGGTTCAGATTATAAATCTCAGGATGCAACTGTTTCAGGGAGTGTTGTCCAACCCACACATCATTCCAGAAGAATGTCTTCCTTCCATTTCCTATATCAATTTTTGAATTTCCCCATATTTTAGACCATAAATTCCTGATTGTTCTCCATAAACCAACCCCATAAGGGTTTTATCTTCCTCAGTAACCCATAAGTCCTCCATTGCAAATCTGGAGATTGTAACATCTTTCCACAGACCTTGTTCTACAGAAGCAAACCTTCACAGTCACTTCAAGAGGAGACTCTGGTTTTGAACTTTGAGATTTTTTATGCCCATTCCCCCTTCTTTTTTTGTTGTTTCACCAAGTGATATTTCTTTTCCCCCTCTCCATTTTCTTGCCATAAAAAGTTTCTCCTAATGGATTCTAACTTCTTTAAAACACTCCCTGACATAGGGAATACTAATATCATGTAGGTTGGCATAGCATCAAGCACACTATTAATTAGTGTCAATCTTCCACCCAAGGATAGGTATTGGCTTCTCCAATTTACTGGCATTTTTTCACACTTCTCCACCACTGCATTCCATAGATTCTTTGATTTACTGTTTGCTCCTAGAGGTATCCCTAGGTAAGTGGTAGGCATTTCTCCCACTTTACCTCTAAGAGGCCAGCTAGTCTGTTGATTTCTGGGACTTCATTCATGGGGTAGACAAAAAATTTTCCCCAGTTTATATGTAGTCCTGAGACAGCTTCAAACAATATAGATATGATCCTTAGATGCTTTAGTTGTTCTTCCTCTGCACCATAGAACACTAGGGTGTCATCATCATACTGCAAATGGGAGATAGATAAGCCCCTGGTGTCACTATCATTCATCAAGAACCCTCTGATCATGTTATTTGATTGTGCTGTTTTCAACATGCCACTTAGTCCTCCCATAGCTAGGATAAAAAGGAAGGGGGAGAGGGGATCCCCTTGCCTTAATCTTCTTTCTGAGGGAAAGAAACCAGAGGGGTATCATTTAATAAAACTGAGAATTTGACTGTTCTCTCACAGTACTTCAACCAATTTATCCACCTATTTTTAAAACCCATCCTATCCAGTGTGTACCACATAAAGTCCCAGTTGAGGTGATCATAGGCCTTTTCTATGTCCAACTTACATAGAATTCCAGGAACTTTAGTTATTTTCCTCACATCTACACATTCATTGGCTATAAGTATGACATCCATGATATGCCTACCCTTAATGAATGCCAATTGATGCGTATCCACCAGCTTTGACATCACTTTCTTGAGACTTCCTTGCTCTTAGGCCTGTTGTAATGCCAATAAGATCAGGAAGAAGGGGATTTGGTTCTTCCTTTTCTTCGAACTGACTCTAAAGTCTAATCATGATTTTGACTCTAGTATGATACCTCCCTCTGTCGCTATAGAAATCGAGAATGGAGGTGACTTTGCTACACTTGCTTATAGTTGGAAATTCCAACTCGAAGGCCCTAGTACTACTGACTTTGTCCATGTCCTATATAAACCTCTAGATGCATTGGGTTATTGATGCCATCATTGATGATTGAAGATTCTAAAAGGAATGAGTGTACACCTAAAGTCACAGAGAGGCAAGTTGTTTCAGAATACAAATATCTCAGAATCAGTGTGGACCTAACTAAAAGCAAAATGCAGGTGAAGTAAATTATCTCTATAGACGATAATAATAGTTGAGTTGGTCAGTGTAACACTTACAGCATGCGTAGTGTTTTTCAGGATTCCTTTTTATCCTGGTTAGACTTGTATGTTTCTGTTGCAATAGTATGAGACTGACATAGAGAATCCAACATTTGCATAAAAGACAAATTAGTTAGTATTGGAATGATAGAACCTGAATGCCGAGAATTCATATAGCCACACCTGAACTAATTTCAGGTTGAGTTATAGTTAAATGATCCTCTTTCTAGCATCTTGATGTCTCCCATCTACTAGTGGAAATTTCCTTTCTTATTTACAAGAATTCTGATCATAAGTTTTGTTAATAAGAAAGATAAGCGATATTCTCCTCCTCTCCTTAATACCATGTTTTCATTTAAAATGTTCGGTAACTGTATCTGCAGGTTGGGCACCAGATAGTTGTTAGTTATGCTAAATGCATGGGACTCCCATTATTCCGGAGGCGAATTCAAGGATCCACAAGGCAAGCCCTTTTGCAATCAATTGCCTAAGTTTGAAAATTTTATTACTGGGTGCTTATTAAAGAACTGGAGAGGTGACATTTATTATTTCTTGTTGAAGGATAGAGATGTGAAGTTGTTATATATATATATATATATTTAGTGAGAGAGAGAGATAGAGGATGGGAAAATGATGTTTCCGTAATACTTCTACCTGAATAATCTTTGTAAAATGTTTGTATTAATGTAATTGTTAACTTGCATATGCCAAAGATAAAGAAGTAGCTTCATGCCTACAGCACAATTTTTTTATTTATAATGTTCTATTTATAACTTTTCTAGTTGGATTTCGCAGGCATCATGACCTAAGCTACAGTATGACTCCGGGTGATGAAGTTGAAGATATGTTTATATTGTTGAAAGAAGTAAAAAGACAGATACCCTCTGTTACAGCAGTTTCTTCTGGTGCAATTGCATCTGACTACCAGAGATTACGAGTGGAAAGTGTATGTTCAAGGTTAGGGCTCGTTTCATTGGCGTACCTATGGAAGCAAGATCAATCTTTTCTTCTGCAGGAAATGGTAAATTTGTGTTAGAAATAGAGAAAACATTAATTGCTATTATAACTTTATTCTAAAGTTTTCTTCTTTTCTTTTGTCCCTCCACTCCCATGGCAGATAAGAAATGGAATTATTGCAATAGCAGTGAAGGTAGGAATCTGTGAGGTCTTTTTATTTGAGATTTCACATGTAAACATTATACATGTGGGATTCGTGATTTGGTCACTCTATATGAAATCAATTGCTGACTTGAGAACCCCTCAAAACACTAAACCCTATACTTCTGAATCTTTTCAGGTTGCTGCTATTGGACTGAACCCCTCAAAGCACTTGGGAAAAGAGATAGCATACCTGGAGCCCCATCTCCACAAGCTAAAAGAGTATGATATGGTTAGCAAAATTTTTGGCTTTGTTTTACTTCACTTTTTTCGCATTTTTATGTCTCTTTTTGGCAGGTTATATGGAATAAATGTCTGTGGTGAAGGTGGAGAATATGAAACATTAACGCTTGATTGCCCTCTATTTAAGGCAAGTGTTCCATCTTTCTCTCCTTTCGGATGGTCTGCATAGAGAATATATGGTTGTACTATGTGGTCTCAAAAAGAAAGATAGCTTAACTACTACTTCTGTGATAAAGTATTACCAAGCACCTTTGGAGAATATTTATCAATCTGATCCATGATTTTTGTTTTGTTGCATTTTCAAAAAATGCATTTATTTTTGCATTTTTTGTTGGGATTTTAATTATTTTCTAAATTTTGGTGGGACAAATTTGAGTGTAGTCCTCTAAATGGATTTAGTAAAGCTCATTGTGACCTTCAAAAGTCAAATGAAGCAAAAAGATGCGAGACAGGGAATGAAATTTGGTGCTTTAAAATTATGTACGTCTTCTTTCTTTATCATGTTTAATTTTTCAACTCTCCCAGCTTTCTGATTGAAAGCTAAAATTGACATTCAAAGTCAACTGAAGCAAAAATGATGTGACATTGAGTATGAATTTAGTGCTTAAAAGTTACATCCCTCTTTTTCTATCACTCGTCTAATGTTTCAACTCTCCCAGAATGCTCGAATTGTGCTGGATGAATTTCAAATCGTCTTGCATTCTCCAGATTCCATAGCCCCTGTTGGCATCCTCCACCCCTTGGCATTCCATCTGGAAAATAAGGTAGAGTCAATATCTTCAAATGGCATTGACGAAGCCAGCAATTTGGATACAGTATTTGAAGTGGAAGGAGATGTCCAACAAGAAGGTGAAGCTGCTAGTGAATTTGTTGCTATAAGGTCTGAGCGGTCAGGTGTTACTAAACAGGAGCTCAAAGTTTCTAAAACAATGAAGGATAATGTCTTTTCTATTTCTTGCTGGCTCCAAGACTCCAGTAAAAATTCATCAGGTAAAACATTGAAGTTACTGTAGAAGGTTAATGTTATAAGTGGAATCATATTTGGATATACTGCTATTTGTTAAATTTTCTCTATGATCTAGTTCCTCTTTCGTGTCTCTTTTGGATCTCTCTTGTTTTCAATGCTTTTAGCCTTGTTATTGCCAGATCTGCAGGAGGATCTGGAGGTTGTTCTAATGAGAATTGAAGCTCTGCTCGTGGAAAATGGTTCCTCTTGGGAAAATGTACTGTATATCCATCTTTATATTGCTGATATGGATGAGTTTGCCGTGGCAAATGAGACCTATGTCAGATTTATTACTCAAGAGAAGTGTCGTTATGGTGTACCATCACGGTCCACCATTGAGCTCCCTCTATTGCTAGTTGGTTTAGGGAGGGCATATATTGAAGTTTTAGTGGCAAATGATCCTACTAAAAAGGTCTTGCATGTACAAAGTATATCTTGCTGGGCTCCTAGCTGTATTGGTCCATACAGTCAGGTACTGATCTTCTTAAATAGTGAACCATTCATATTGTTCTGGGATCAGCATGATTATTGTTTTCAATCTGTCTTGCTTTTGACTTGAATATGAAGCATATAATTAACTAGATATTTCTATCTTCTGTTACTATCAGGAGAATAATCATCTTGAAAATTTGCTTCTCATTTATTTACCAAATCACTATGTGGCAGGCAACTTTGCACAATGAGATACTACACATGGCAGGACAGCTGGGGCTTGACCCAGCAACTATGTTGCTCTGTGAAGGAGGTCCTGTTGCGGAACTTGAACAGGCACTGGAAAACAGTGAAGCAGTTGCTAGAAGCTTTAATTGTTCAATATCTACGTCAGCCATGGTTTTTGTGATATATTGTTCAGAATCTGTAGAAAAATCAGAAAGAATTATTGTCCAAAAGAAAACAGAAACACTTCTTAAGCAAATGAAGTCGAACCATGCTGATGGCACAAAGAAGTCCAAAGTCCTAGATCCAATTTTCCTATATGTTCTTGTTCCTGATCTGCCGAAAAGGTAATTTGTGTCAGCGGTGCTCCATTGACCACAGTATAAATGACACTCTAATATTTGTTCCTCCAAGAACTGTTATGTGAATAGTTAGCTGTAGTTTAATCGGATATCTGCTATCGTCATTTTAATTCCCTTTGTATTTGTGTTTCTTGTTATGCCATATGTTGTCTATCTCCAGTCAGTATGACATGAGAATAAAATGGGCCTATTATTTATCTGTCTTTCTCGTAAAATAAATTAATTGAGTGCACTTCCTCTATGTAGAGCTCTGGTTGAGGTAAAGCCTATGTTTTACACGGGAGAGTATTTGTCGGGTCCAAGTGACTTAACCAAGCAATCACAAACCACAGAACAAGATTATTGCGGGCATGACATTAGCCTTCAGAAATGTGTTGCTTACGGCAAAATATGCACAGTAATTCTTTCAGTTACTGAAGAGCTTGCAGCAAAAATTTGCTCCCTCGCTAGTGTTGCATGTCCTGCCAATGTTATGTCCAAAGGTCTTGTTGAAAAGGAACAAGTCATATTGATCGCAAGATTTTGCATTTCTCGTCTCGATAAAGTCCTTTCGGAGAATAATTTCTCTTGGGACGACATAATGGTTAGTTTCTTTTTCCTGGCCCAACTATTTTATTTCACAAATTTTCCTGGAGTGATATCCCTTTCTACTTATAAATCTGTGCAAGGTCTCCTTGATTAAATAGCTAAATATATTACTTTCACTTTACAAAAAAAGAGACTAAGAAGGAGTCTTTTCTTGACCTTATTATGCAATATGGATAGAATTGTTTGTAGTTGATGAACTAGATAGGTGAAATTGGAGTGGCTGCGGCGGAGTATATCTTTTTTTTTTCAGGGTTAGGAGGTTGAAGAGTAATATCTGGGAAGATCTTCAATAGCTAGTCACTCTTTGCATTAGACATGTTATTGAAAATATGGGGAAGTTCTCTGTAGATGCCTACACGGATTTTTTTCGAAAAGAGATTATGCCTTGAGCACATTATAGCTATTACTATGAGTAATTAGCTGTCTAAGCTGAAGGTGCTGAAAGGATGAGAAAGTGGTAGAAAAAAGTAAACAATGGAAAAAGAACTCTCTTTTCTTTCCAATCCATTGGAATAAAACTGTTTGAAAGGCTTGGTTACTTCTCAGTAGGGGTGGTAGAATGGGTAATTTATATGGGTATCCACTCATATTTACCCATTTTAAATGGGTTGGGTACCCAACACATTTAAAATATGAGTCGATTCGAGTACTTTATCCATTTTTGTTTAACTCGTTTTCGATAGACTCATATTCGACTTAACTCGCTTGTTTGCCACTCCTACTTCTCAGTAATGGTAGGGAGGAATTGACAAAGATTGAGCCACTAAAGCTGGGGATTTTTCTCTTATAGTTTGCACTTTAAAAGACCTCTTTTTCTTGCTTTGCTATTCTTTTTCCTAGATGAAGTATTCTAGTCCTCTTAATACCTTCTCTCCTTTTTTGCAGAATTTCCGGCTCTACTTTGCAAACAATCTTAATATCTCTCATGGAACATTGTCTGAAATCTTCTCTGATGTGTTCAATGAACTTGTTCAGATGAGTCGGAGAAATAAAGTAGACGCTGAGCCTATTTTAAATATAGTTCCTGTCTTGGGTGCTGGGCGTTCTTTATCGACCTTGGATGATATATTCACATGTGAACTCATTGCTAGCAAATGTTAGTTCTCATTTAAATTGGGGAATGATATATTATATGTTTCAATTCAGAAAAAGAGAGTTTTGAACTTGACAAAATTCTTATTATGTTTTTGCCATACCCAATTGTTACAATTTACACTTTGCTTCACACGAAATGAAAATATGAGTGTTTCAACTCGAATTGAAGAGATGGTGACTTTTGACTGTTCCTTGATGGGAGACTTGGAAGAAATGTTCTAATTGCTTTCAGTTCTAGTGCTCAATTTTTTAAGTCATTTGGTTTGAAGGAAAATTTTTACGCCAAGCGTTTGCTGATGGAGTTGAATTGAAAAACCTTAGCCCGCAGTCGGTGATTTATGAAAATGTGTATTTAATTAACTATAGTTTAATGATAGGAGCGTATGCGTAGACATGTATCATGTATTTATTGGATTGGTATAAACACTTGGTGCAGGTAAGGTTTTATCGAGTTGAATGATGCATCTGCTGCAAGTAGAAGCTAGCTGGTGTAGTGGCTCCTTTTTAAATCGGTTTTAGTACTTTGAAGTAGGGGTGTTCATGGTTTGGTTAAAAGTTGATCCAACCAATTAAATACAAATACATCACGGTTTGGCCGGGCTGGCCTCCGATACCATATTGAACAATAGAGATAAGAGCTGAAGCTTGTTTGTACTTTGTAGTGATTTTGATTATTTCTCGTGTCCATGGTTTAATGTATTTATATTCAAAACAATGAACAAAGTAATATCGTCGTACAAAGTACTACAATCTTAAGTCTATCCAACTTTAATCTAGATGCTTTGTAGGATTTTAGAACTATGGGTGGACCATAGGTAGAAGATTTTTGAACAAAAATTGTAACGGATTTAAAATTTTGAAATTCTCTTCGAATTCCAAATCAACATGTTAGTATAAATACATTCCTAGAAATTCATTAAAATTGTTATATCTAAATTTAACACTTTACTCTTTTACACTAGCATGAATTCAAAATTTCAATTGAGATATTGAACACGTAAAAAAAATAAAGATATCGAACATTTAAAAAGAAAAATAAAATAATATATATTGAGTAATATCAAATTATTTGGGGGTAGAGTATATGTCCTGAATTTGGGGTTGCATAGTTGTGTTTGTCAGAGGGCATACATAAGCTTCCTCTTTTCTTTTTGAGTGATATACAAAAATGATTGTTATTATGCAATTTAATGGTCATAATGCTTATTCTGATTTAAGGTCCAAAGCATGTAAAGTTAGATGGAATTTCCTTGATGATATACTTGAAATTGCTTATGCATATAGAAAGCTTATTACTATGTAATTTAATGCTCATAATGCATTTTAAAATTTAATGATAGTGATTGAACTGAAGTAAATGAACTTAGAATATTTTTTAAATCATTTTATGATGTTACTAAAAAAATTTCTAGAATGAATTATCCTACTATTTCTGAAATTTTAATACATGTATATGAGATTTCATCTTCTTTTTTTTCTAAATATAAAACAAATGAATTATTTACAAATGCTATTGAATCTATGATTACAAAATTTAAGAAAATATTTTTTTCATATCCCTCAAATTTATTTAACTGCAATTCTTTTCAACCTTGGATATAAAGAATATGGTGCAAATGCTTTAGTTGAATGCATTTATCAAAATTTAGATATTCAATCACACGAAGAACCTAATTTGGTAACATGTCAAAATAACATCAAATTACTTGCTAAAGAAATGTATGATAAATATTGTTCATAATACAATGTTGAAAATCCTCAAACTTCTATACCTCGAGTAAGTGCCCATTGATAGAATGAAACATAAACTTGATATTGATTCTTCTAATAAATATGAATTTGTTAAATATCTTGAACATGGCTCAAATAATATTATAAACGAGGAAGGTATACCACAACTATTGACCTGGTGGAGGGCTCGTGGAACTCAATTTCCAAAAGTTAGTAGGATGGTGATGGATGTGCTTGCAATTTAAGGATCATCAGTAGCTTTGGAGGCAACTTTCAGCGCAACAAAATTTCAAATTGAAGACCACAAATATTCGTTAGCAGAATACAGTTTGGAGATAACGGTGTTGTTTAGAGATTAGATAAATGTCGAGCGAAGAAATCAAGAACTTCCAAAGTTAGATAATCAATATGAACTTTTCTTAGATTTAGCCATTGGATGTAATAGTGACGATGGCATGGACTTCAAGATCGTCAACAAGTTTTATCAAGACCAGAAGTTGATAACGGTCAATCTTTAGCTAGGTTAAAGAAAAGCTTTTTAGGACTATACAACTATTAGTGTTTCTTAGAAGGTGGCTGCGCAAATTAGACACTCTACTAATAGTTGTAACTGTAATATAAATTTGAATAAAGTGGATTGGTTTTTAAATTTTTGTCATTGTTTTATACTTTTATTAGCATTTCTTTTTGTTTATTTAATTTTTTAAAATTACAAACTTAATTCATCAACTTCAAATAATATAAACTTAATATAAATTTAATTAAATAAAAGATTTATCAAACTTAAGTTACTTAAATTACAAGTCATAACTTAACTTAAAAAAATTAAAATCTTAAAAACTTATAACATAAATTCAAAAACATAGAAAAAATAACTTTAATAAAACTTAACTTACAGACTTAGTATAAATTGAAAAAGTTTAGAAAAAGTATCTTTAAAATTGACTTATATTAAAAAACTTAGAAAAAAAAATACGATAAACTTAAATCTTAACTTCTAAAGTAATTTAAATTTTCAAAACTTAAATACTTTATAAACTTAGGAAAAAAATTTATGCGTATTTTTGTAATTCAAAATATAATATTTATTCCTTTTAACTCTAAAAAACTAAAAAATATTTTTTGATAACTATATGTGTCATCCCGTTTATTCTATCCCTTTCCATTCCAGTCTGTTTCAAGTCTATCTCGGTGTATAGTGAGACGGGACGAAATCCAATTTCCATCTCACTAATTTCGATCCAATTCATCCCAATACCAATCAACAACCCGTTTAAACCATTCCGGTCTGATCTGGTGGTCCCATTCCGGTCTGATGCCTAGTGGCGACAGAGAAGGCTCAATAAAATGGAGATTAAAGCCAAAATTTAGAAAATAATATTTCGTTTATTTAATTTTTATAATATAATTTATTCTCAAAAATTCTACAAAAAAATATTGTAATTGATTATAATTTAATAATTATTATTTCTTTTTCAATTTACAATATAACATTTCTGATAATATTTTGTAAGACAAGAATAAACATATATAAATTATTGTACGTTACCTAACAACACAAATGTTTAAATCTCTCTTATTGATTATGATTTTAATTTTTTTTCAATAAAATCAATTGTTTACCTAAACCATCAAAATTATTCTAAAATAAAATCAAGACTTTTTTTTTTGGTTTCCCATCCGGTGTCCGGTACCTACATTGGAGTTGGAGCCCGACTAAATTCGGATTCACACTGAAAAGTCCCACATTGGGGGGTAAAACGCTCCCTAGCAAAGGCGACTCCGTACCCAAGGGGACTCGAACTCGAGATCTCTTGGTTAAGGATGAAGGAGTACTTACCACTCCACCACAACCCTTGTTGGTAAGACTTCACTTATTTGAATACACCAATTAAAGTATAATTTTTTTTTAACTTATAGAATATTTTATAATACTTTAAATAACAAAAATCAATATTATAGTGATTGTTATCTTAGACATTTTAAGTTAAACACAATAATTTGTAAAATTTAATTATTTAATAATATAATTAGCCTAAGCTTAAAATGTTTAATAAAACATCTCAAAAGAACTGAAGACAAAATATTAAAACATGGTTGACTTTTAATTATAATTACATCAATAATAAAATTTTAAAGATATGTGCATAACCATATATTTATATAAAAGAGAACCCTAATCTCGCCTACATGGCGCCACCACACACCAGGATTCCCTTTTAATTTATTATATTTTCAAAACTAGTCTTCCTATTTCGTGAAAAATTATGACTTTTATGAAAGGTTGTGACCTTTTCGAAGGGTTATAATTTTTCCAAAGAGTTGTGGCCTTTCTGATAAGACACAATAAGCATTTATTCACAATACCCTTTAATTTCTATAAATAGTGGAATTTCCTCTCATTTTAAAACAACCAAAATTCTGAACTTTTTCTTCCTCTTTTGGACAATTAAATATTTGTTGTATTTTCCTCCTGTTGAGTGGCTCACTGACACCATTATTTTTGTATCAATACACTGGTGAATAAAATCGTTTTATCCTGAGAGAGTCTATTCCTTTAAACCTTGGGCGCTAGAGGGGAATAATTTCCTTAAGGGGACACTGTGCATTCAGTGGGATCGATTTTTCCCATTCTGTTTCATTCTATTGTTACAGATCCTGGTATGCTTTTTACAGTCATTAATTTATGTTTATATTATTAATTGTTATTTTTAAGTACATGATTTAAACTTTGTTGTTTATGTTTCTGCAAAGTTATTGTTATAAGTATTTGTCAGTACAAATTAAATAACAAACGTTAATTGAGTATTCAAACAAGTTTTCTCTACTAGAATTGTTGAAGGTACAATAAAAAAAATCTCTTACAAATCTCTAATTTCTTCATCAACAACGTCATTCCTTCACATACAAGAATGAAATTTTTGTTCTTTAAAAAATCATCTGATATTTAATAACTTTGCATGCCTATATTTTTGGCTTTTATATTGTAAGTTATCTATTTTTACTAAATTTTATCAATGAATATTATGAGTACTTTAAGGATTAAAAGTTGATTGAAGTGTTAGTCAATTTTTTGAGCTTTGTTATTTCAAAATTTAGGAAGTTTTCTGGTTAGAATGATTTGTTATCATTGTTGGATATCTCAAAGTTTACTCCCTTTGATGCATGCTTTTTCTCGCTGTTTTGTTGTCTCCTTAAAATTATAATGACTATTTTTCGTTTGGTATGTATATGATCTCATTTGGACAAAGCTTTCGTCCTTTCAAAATTTTTCTTTTTTTCCTTCTCATTCGACTCTTCTAAATATTTTTGGTGTGAGTAATGACTATTTTCGGCAAGCTTAATTTGAAGAATATGAAACAGAACCTACCATAAATAAAAGTAATATTTCAAGCTACAAAAGATATGTCTATTAACATAGATTTGTTGTCC